TATTATACCCAATTTGAAATAGAAAAGAATATATTGAAATATAAAAGAATATATAAGAATATATCTTGCAATAGAAAAGAATATATTGAAATAGAAAAGAATATATAAGAATATACCTTGAAATAGAAAAGAATATATTAAAAAATAAAATGAACACTTCCTTAAGACGATTTTCGATGCCATGTTTCGTTGTATTAAAAATCGAAAGTAAGTGGAATTAAATACTAGCAAAAACATGATTTGAAAACACATTTGTCGCATATAATTTGGAATTTTTGAACTTTTAGAGATTCGAAAAGAAGGAAACATAATTTTTGATATATTATAATTTTTTAAGGATGACAAAGGACATAAGAAAACTTAATTTTAAAAGCGTAAATTTAAAATTGTGAAAACGCATGAAAAAAGAAGATAGCAATTTTTATATCATTTTCATGGACACTAGAGGTTGAATGAATTAAAGTAACATTAAGTCATACAATTCAAATATAAAATATTCTAAATCGAGAGGAAAGGCATTTTGAATTGAAAGTATTTATTTCGAAATAAATGTAAAAAAGAAGACAATTTAATCTGATTTTTAGACAATTATGACAACTGATATTTACACGCATAAGAATCAAATTATTCAAAAAAATTTTATATACTTTAACACAAGGCACTAAGTGTGTGCGTTTGAATTGTGTAACTATAAACCTTTTTTTAAAAATAACAATAAGCAATAATAGAGGAATAAAAAATAAAAAAACTTTATCTTATTAAAATTCAATAATATTTAGGTCGTATGAAATTTAATCGATTTTATTTTTTCATTTACTTCGGTGCCCTTGGTTCGCCCCTTCCAAGGATTTCATCAAAATTTGAGGGGAGATTAATCGGTATTTTACGATATCGCTGAATGTTTAAATGCTTGACCGGGTATATAAGGGTAAAAAATACATGTCACGGGCACGTCAGACAATTTAATTTTCGAACCGTGCTCAAAACAGCATTTCCTTAACAAAATTTTAAATTTACGCTTTCATATTTAAGAGCACTGCATATATAAATATAAACTTAAAAAGACGAAAAATAAACAACCAAAGGGGAAAAAAATATTCGAATTAACANAAAAAAAAAAAAAAAAAAAAAAAAAAAAAAAAAAAAAAAAAAAAAAAAAAAAAAAAAGAACAATTCGAAATTGAAATTACTGAGGCATTTTTCAGTTCATTCTTCATTTTAATTCAAACATTATGCTAGATTAGTGACAGTTTAAATTAAATTATGAATATTCATAGTTTATTATACCCTTTTATTTCTCCCTTAAGTATCAATGATTATATGGTAATGAGTTTCTCTCAAAGAAGCTTTAAAGGAGTTTATTATAAATAAATTATTTTTTATCGCGATATTTATTGTATTGAAAGGGAAATATTTTATTTTTTCCCTAACATCTGCAAGATTATTTTTCCTGCAATTATTATTATTATTTACCTGTTTTGTTTTGTTTTCCCTTCTAAATTCAAAACATCTATTAACTAATGAGTTTCTCTCTTAGATCTAGTAAATTAGTAAGTATACCGGTAAAAATGACTAGTTAAATAAAGTAAATATAAATTTTATGTTTTATTTTACAAATACATTACTGCAGTTATTACAGTTTAAATAGATAATTATTCTGTTATCTTAAGATAAAAATATTTCGCTTACTTTAAAATAAATAAAAAAAAATTCAAAAATAGAAAAAAGAGTAAATTTTTAAAGGGACTTTTTTAATTACGAGCATTAAAATTCAAATGAAAGTAACAACTAATTTTAAAGGAAATAAACGATCTTGTTTTGAAAGACCAAACTTATGGACGAGTACATTCCAGAAAATTGGGGCATAACCGATTAATAATGCTAATAATGCTCAGAAGTTTTTTTTATTTATCTTCACTTACCTTACGATAAATAAAAAAAATTACAAAAATGGGAAAAAAGAGCAAATTTTTAAAAGAATTTTTTTATTACGAGTGTCAAAATTCAAATTTTGAAGGAAATAATCGATCATGATTTGAAAGATCCAACTTATGGACGAGCACATTCCAGAAAATGGGAGATAACCGAAGTCTTAATTAATAGTCAGAGATCCTTGTTACCCTTTTTAAAAAAATAGACTGATATTCACTTCACCTGCTTTTTTAAACAGCTGCTTTTACCAGCATCCACAAGTTAGGACATGGAACAAAAATACCCAAATAGCTTCTGGAAGCAGACGATTATTAAATCATTAATTTAAAATCTTTTTCTCTTTTTAAATGTGACCTTTTTTCTCTGATAAATACATTATAGTAATCCAAACTAATTAAAAAAATACTGTGAAACCTCTCGGGAATGACCATTCTCCGTTCCACAGTAAAATGGTTGTTGATGGAGGTAGGAGGTACCTCCATTGACTTCAAAATTGTTATCGAAGGTATATGATTTTTCGCAAACGATTTTAATTTTAGTCAGTGTCATTTTCTTGGTGCGGAAAAGCCATTTCTCTTGGCGTCATGAAGAGACGGATCTACGAATAAAATTTAGAGTTTATAAAAATGATCCCCTGATATAATTGGGTATACTATAGCCTACGTCTCAGATCGTGTTATTCCTACTAAATTTAACTAGTAAACAGCATTTTCTGCGAACCTGATNTGTTTGTTTGAGATGCTTGTTTTTTTTTAAATATTTTTTTTTCTAATTTAACTTTCAACTCTGAAAAAAAATTGGTCTTAAATGCACTCTCTGACTGCAACATGAGATTGTACCGACAAGACGAGCTCTCTAAATAGTAGCCCCAGACAAATATTTTGAATACATTTTAATCCACTTATTTGTTTTGTTAAATTTCTGTTTTGATATTTTTTCGTGTTTCCTTACTTGACCTTTTCCGCATTTGGTGCAGATGTTTGTCGGGTAGTTGGGAGAGGTTTTTAATGGTCGCTCCTAAAGGTTTTTTTCAACACATAGTCTTTTAAAAAAATTCCGTGCCTCCCAAAAGTGGTCGTAAGTAGATGATCCCTAATAATAAGCGGGAGAAGATTTGAATAAAAAAATGGGATATCGGATGTAATAATCTGAATTTTTGTTCAATTATTAAAAATATTTTTTAAAATTATTAATCGATTGTGGAAAAATTTGCATTTTTTGCACAATACCCTCCGTGCCCCGGACCCCGAGGCTACGCTTAAGGTAATAAGCGAATCATTTAGCTATCGTTTGTACTCCAATATGGGAGGTTTACCCAAGCTAGTTATTCAGGGCAAAAGTACTTTATCCCCTGAGCTATTCTGATCTTTATCACTCTCTGTGACAGTTCTTCAAACATAATTAACACACTTATGAGGTGCTGGCAGCAGGATTCTTAGGTATGAATTACTGGTAAATGGTACCCGGATACAACTCGGGTAACTTTTTTCTTAATGTTTCGAGAAGTTTTCTCATTTTTTCATACAGTGCTTCTTCTCTATTTCCTCTTTGAAAGCTGTATCTGCCAAAATCGTAGTATTGGTATGATAGGTCAAGCCTTTCTTTGTAGAAAACTTGTAAA